TTTGAAGAAAAAATAAAAATCCCACTCCAAACTTGCACTGTCTATTCTGTCATGAGGTGTTACATTATGCTGTGCTAGACAATCACACCTTTTCCACCATGGTGGGAAAATTCAAATCCTGTTTATGACAGAGATGAATCAGCCTGTGCAAAGGACAGAGAGATGTCCCAAAGCAAGGTTTATGGAATTAGTCAGTGGTGAAGGAAATGCATTCTCTGACATTTCAAATGAGGTTTCAGAAATATTAACTGGAACAAAGAAACAAGGCTCTGACTGTCCCACAAGCCAGTGCTTAGAGCTTTCCACGGAGGACCATGACGAAAGCCACACACCTGGTAAATAACCAAGGATTTATACAAATTAGAAACACTCCTAAGTGAAGGAAGAGAACTGTCCCAATGTCAGAACTACCAATGTCAGTACACTGAGAAATGGTGTGGTGTGTTGCCAAAAATACAAGAGAACAGCAGAGCAAATTTTCTGATTTTGTGCTATTTCTCTTGCCATTGGTGTGATGACCCACCCTTAAGGCTGAAACAGTCTCTGCACAGTCTCTAGGAAGTTTTCCTTCTTACCATCCACTGGCCTGACCATATGCCCTCCAAAACCCTCAGCTATATCCTCTCTTGAGCAAACCTCTCCCTGTTCTTTGCTGGTTTTTTTTTTATTTTTTTAAATTTATTTCTTGCTCTGCCTATGGTCTTGAGTCTTCACTCTCAAAGTCAGTCAGCTGCTCTTGAATAAAAGGAGCCATCTCTCCCTTTCTCCTGCTGGTTCCACCTAATCCAGTGATTCTTTCGAGTGCAGTGGAACATGCTAACCAAGAGCAAAATGCAACCCCAACGCAGCCTGTTACAGCTTCCATCATCAACCTGTGCACTACAGTTTCAGCTTGCAACCTTACCTTCACCAGCAAAACTGCAAAACCCTCCACTGTCTCCTCAGAAAACCATTTAATGTCTGCAGAAATCTCCCAAGAGCTCACAGCTGAAAAACATCAATAAAGTTTCTCCTAGGCTTGTAGCTTCCTTCTTCTTGCTCTTTCCCTCACATTCTGCTCTCTGCCCAATTTTCCTTGCTGCCAGTGTAATCTTCATGCAGGAGAGGAGCAGATTCTGTTTCAAATCTGAATTTACATTATACAAAGAGACCAGAACTTAGCTGTGTCAGACCTTGAACCTGGGATAATCTCAATGTGGGGGAAGCCTATAAATCAGGACCTTTCTTTTTAGAACAGTTGCTCACTACAATTCATTGTCTGAGCAAATAAAGGTTTTATTCTCTCCAAATTCTTTCCTACAACTACCACAAGCTTGTGTTCCTAAAATAGACTGTGTTTCACAGCACAGTCATGGAAGTTTTGGCACCAGCCCAGGCAGAATACAAATTTCAAAAATGAAGACTTGAGTAATAACAATCAATATAAACCCAGAAATAACAACAGCTCTGGTAAACACATCAGAATTATCTCATTGCTTTTTCTTTAAATAAGAAGCATAAGCCAGAACAATGCAGGTAAAAGATGGTAAGTATCAAACCTGACTTTAGAAATTCTTCAAAGAGCATATTCACATCTAGATTCTGCAAGCCTTAGCTCAGCTTCAGGGCATTTACTCACATTGACAAACCTTGCCCCTCCATCACATTCCAACAATCTCACCTGAGCCATCAAATAATGCCCACTGTAAGTCAGATGGATTTTCTTGTGATTACCATGAACACAGATATGCTACCTGCTAGACATACACACTTCACACCTGTTGTCAAATTACAGTGAAATCTTGCTTTGTTCAATTAAAAAATCCACACTCATTCTTACCAAGTGAATCTCAGTTTATAATTAGTGTTAACCACTCTATGCTCTAATAATTATGATTATCACTTTAATGACAGAGTGATGCTCCCTATACCAAGGTCATTCAGCCACAGGTAAGAGAGTGTGGCACTGTAATATGGTTCAGATGTAGGACCACAAAAAGAGAGAGAATCTGAGAAGGTACAAATGAAAAGAAAAAGAGGTGTGAAAATTATAACTGACAGGCTGACAAAAGTGGAGTATGGGCAAAAAGCAGGAATAAAGTGCGCAGGAAAAAAATCCCCAAGATATTCTACCTACGCTTAGTATTTACTATGTGTATCTTAAAACATTAATAAATAATGTGTTTAAAAATTCTGTACCTTGGTGCCCCAAGTAGAAAGTCAGCAAGCCTTTGACAGCTTGGTAGTCCAGTCACTGCATAGGCAAGAATAAGCAGTGTAAGGTTTAGCTGGCTGTGCATGTGACAACATAGAACTGTCCTTGTTACTTAAATACATGTTTAACGGCCCTATAGGCATTTAACAGCTACACCACAAACCTTCTGAAAGCACAGATATCTATTTCACCTTCTGTTCAGTTTGTGGAAGACACAGTTAAGGGAAAGTACAGCCAGATTTCTGCAGAAAGGGTCTTGTTAAGTCGAAAAGTTTACTTATATTCTACATACCAGCTGCTTTGGATCATCCAGGGAGACAAAGCTTCCAAAAGAAATTTAATCTTCTATCGTGCAGCATTTTAACCCCAGAGTGGAAACCTGAAGATAGCAGTAGGATAAAACACTTGCCAGAAGA